TAGGTGTAACAGACCCGTCAAAAAGACTGAAATGCCCTTATTAATTCAATAAGATTATATTAAAGTGAATGATTTGCATGTGTTATTCTCTATGCTATAAAAAAAAACATCACATGCCAAAAGTATGATTACTAAATTCCTATATGATTAATCAAACGGTATTTGTTTTGTCTTGTTTTTAAGGATGGTGTTTGTTTAGTCCCTAAACTCGAAAAATTATGGATATGATCCCAGTGATTGTCGTTTTCTTATGACTAAGGTCATTTTCACTAACGATCGTTAAAGAAATTCATTAATCTAGTTAACTAAAGGATTAAAAGACCAAAATACCCTTTTTTTCTTTGTCTTGTTCATATATCTATACTATCTTATAAAACATTTGGCTAAAACTCTTAAAAACTCTTAAACCCGTTTATCCCTAAACGATTTCATTCCTATCCGGTTTCATCCCATATCTGAATTCGTGTAACTAACTGCAGATAAACACAATCAAATACATGATAAACATCTCATTYTAAATATAAAAAATCTAAAATATAATTAGTATAATCATTAAATTTTAACAGAATACTTAATTATTATCTTTATAAAATTTATAATATTAAACAAAAAATAAAGTGTTTTATTATTAAACTTAAATTAAATTTATATATAAAAAAATATTTTATATTATAAATCATTTGACAAAAACTCTTAAAAACCACTTTTTATGTGTAAAGTACTGTTTATTAATGCATATTACTTAAAACTCAAGATTACAAGTAAATTGTATGTAGGTACAACTTATTAAAGCTCCATACTTAAAACTCAAAGGGGTCCAAGACAAGGCGATGGACCTTTCCAGAAGGGGGCAATGGTTGAAGTTGACAATGACTATCAGGGGAGAGGAGATGAGAGACGTTGAGGAGGGGCCATAGGTGGGGAAAGCTTCCTTGAAGAAAGAGACTGATGACATCTTGTTTTTGTTTTTGTTTTTGTGTTTGTGTTGCATGTATGTGTATATATATATAGAGTTTGTTTCAAATACAACCTGTCGTATTTGTATAACCAATGCAACCTAATAAATTGAGATATTTATGGAAATTATAAGAGTTCATTTATTATGATTTGAATATTTATGAAATATGAATATGGTTCATTAATTATGATCAATACTTTATATTAGGAAACAATCAAAACTTCTATAAATCACATATTAATCAAATGAAATGGACGGTTGAGATTGAGTTGTATTGGTTGCACAAATGTCAATGGTTGTATAATAATCAACTTTTATATATATATATATATATATATATATATAATTTTATCATTAATAACAAAAGGACAAAACAAAATAGGCATAAAGAGACACAAACATGAACCTTAAGTTAACCGGATTAACGAATTTGTTCAACAACCGTTAATGAAAGGGACTTTAGTCACGAGAAAATTACGACCACGAGGACTATATCCACAATTTTCAATTTTAAAGACGTTAGTCATATTTTTAACAAACTTCAGGGACCAAATCGATAATTCACTATATAGAATATTATTTGATTTGATACGATAATTGATATTGGTCGTGATATATATAGAGAGACTTCGTTTTAAATGCAACATATCATATTTGTACAACCAATGTAATTTAATAAATTAATATATTTTTGGAAATAATGAGAATTCGTTTATTATGATTTGAATATTTATGAAAGATGAATAAAGTTCATTAATTATGATCAATACTTTATATTAGAAAACAATCAAAACTTTTATGAAATTACATATTTATCAAATTAAATGGACGATTGAGATTGAGTTATATTGGTTGTACAAATATAAATGATTGTATAATGACCCACCTCTTTCACTTTATATATTCCAACTTGTATTAAAAATTATAATAAATGCCACTACGCACAAGCATGCCATGATCTATGCCACAAATTCTGCATCATGTTCTTAAATTCACCAAAACAACAATAGTTTGACCAACTACTCTATTTTTTTAGTAAACTACGATTTTCGTTTCTGTATTTTTAAAATTACGTTACGTTGATTATCTCAATGGTTTACAGTTAAACGCTTTTGTTTCATCTTTGAACTAACGGTGTCAATAAAAACCCGTTAAACATCCCCTCCTAACATTGATATATATATATATATATATATATATATATATATGGTTGGGTTCACGTGAGACCAAAGGTCTAAATTGATCAACTTTATAAGTTAATGATCTAACGGTCTAAATTGCACGGTGACAATTTTGTGATTATTGAGAAATCTCGTGGCGTTTATGAATGTTTAGATTGTCAGATTATAAATCTAATCCAATGGTTGATAATTGGTCTTACGGGTCTCACGAAAAACCATTGGTCTCACATGATCCCAAGTATATATATATATATATATATATATATAGAGAGAGAGAGAGAGAGAGAGTTTGTTTCAAATACAATCCGTTGCATTTGTAAAACCAATGCAACCCAATAAATTGAAATATTTATGGAAATGATKAGAGTTCATTTATTATGATTTRAATATTTATGAAAGATGAATATRGTTCATTAATTATGATCAATACTTTATATTATGAAACAGTCAAAACTTCTATGAAATCACATATTAATCAAATGAAATGAATGGTTGAGATTGAGTTGTATTGGTTTCACAAATGTCAAGGGTTGTATAATAACCAACTTTCATATATATATATATATATGGACTCATTCAAGGGAGAATTGAGTTGTTTGTAGTAATCGTGAGGTCCAATCTCAACCAATCATTTTAATATATTAATTATTTAATTTAATTCAATTTAAAAGGATATGTTAGTCAATTCCTAAATTAAGATTAAATTTTAATCTTTAAAATAGAACCGTTTCACAAAAAATAATTAATATTGATTTACATTCCTAAATTATACATTAATATGATTCAGTGGAATAAAATCAAAAAAATTAATCCGTCAGTGTAAACATGATCATGATTCTAAATTATCACATGGAATCACACATAATTGTTGAAGATTTTCTCCATAATATTTAAGAATATCAAATTAATAAGTGTTTTCGCAAGAATTTTACCACAATGTAGCACTCCATTGTTCACACACTATCATATATATATATATATATATATATATATATATAGATGAGTGATCATATGAAAACCGCCTTTGTTTGTGTAAACCGTGTAAACCACCTTCATCTGTCGATTTCATTGTTTAATCTTATGAAATTTTTTCATGAAATTGTTTAATCTTGTGAAATTGTTTCATATAATACTTTTTTTTGATGAAGTTGTTTCATATATGGTTGTAGAGCGCAATCAAATCCAGCTCAATAAATTAAAAAAAATGACCATCTTGCCTTTCTTTACATTATGTCATTAAATGTCACTAATCTATTTTTGGAATTACATTAATTAAGATTCCTTTCAATTTTAACCATTGATTATTAGGATGTATGGTTGAGATTGGATCTCACGGTTAATACAAACAAAACAGTTCTCATTTGATTAAGCCCATATATATACATACATACATACATACATACTAGAAGGGTACTTGCGCAATACAGCGAGATACATCTCGATTTTAATGTTCTATTTTATTTTTTGTCTCTGTCGATGTTATATTACAATTTAATATGTTTTTAAGAAAGCAATAATGATTTTTTTAATAAAATATAATTTTGAATGTATCATAAAAATTTGAAAAAAATATCAATGTTAATATCAAATCAACTATTTAAAAGTTCTTATTTTTTATGTAATTTCTTTAATTTTTTTATTTATTATAATTCAATTTAAGTTTAATAATAAAATAATTTAGTTTTGGTTTAATAATATAACATTTTATTAAGATGATAATTAAATATTCTGTTAAAACTCAATGATTATCTTAATTATATTTCAGATTTTTTATGTTTAAAATGAGATGTTTATCTTGTATTTGATTGTGTTTATCTGTAGTTAGCTACACGAATTCATTGAGCTTTAATAAGTTGTACTTACGCACAATATACTTGTAATTTTAAGCTTTAAGTAACATGCATTAATAAACAGTACTTTATATATAAAAAATGGTTTTTAACAGTTTTTGTCAAATGTTTTATAATAATATATATATATATATATATATGTATATATATAGAAGACGTGTAACTTTAGGATAATAGATTTTTATCCATTAAGGATCGCATATGATCGGGTTGTCCTTTTATTTTACAAATTCTTTTTTAAATATCGACATTTATTTTTATTATTTAAAAATATTAATCACGTATCAAACTTAAAACAAGAATAATTAATAAATAATTATATTTATTAACCCTTAGGGGCTGTCTGGTAATTTCTGAATGGTTTTGTGCAAAATGATTAAGTGATTAGAATGATTAAGAGATTCTCATGATATAGTGCAAAATTAAATATAATTGTTGGGTAATTGTTTATAATGAAATTAAGGTGCTGAATGGTTAAGGAAGACCCATGATTCAAAATCATTCAGAGGATTTTAAAACCATTAAGAGGCGAACTTTTTTTTTTGCCAAACAAAATTCACCTCTTAATGATTCAGATGTTGTCTCTTAATATAATTATTAAGAGGTAAACAAACAACCCCTTAAACATATAAATAAAAATACTCTTATTCATGTTCCACCAATAAAATTAAGACATCTAAGATTTTTATTTAATTTATATTTATATCATTTTCCTATTCATATAATTTGTCGATATAAATAATAGGAAAAAAAATCTCAATTAACACCCAACCACCATGGAGGCAGCCTAGTTTTTTTTATTAATAAATTTAAGTATAAATCATGTTTTTAGTCCTTGTAGTTTGTTGAAAATTTCAATTTTCATCCTTATGATTTTGAAATTATGATTTTCATCCCTATAGTTTATAATTTGTTATGTTTTTGTCTTTTTGATTTAAACTTTATTGTTTTCTTCATTCATGTGGTTTACACTATTTCCATTTTAGTAACTCACGAGTAGTAATTAGTTTAAGAGACGAAAAAATAAAAATGACTTGTAAACTATAGGGACTAAAACTGCAATTTTAAAACCATAGGGATGACATTCGAAATTTCTAGTAAATCACAAGAACCAAAAATGTAACTTACTCTGAATGTAATTAATTGACCACCGTGTAGCTGTGGCTGACCACCGTAAAGCCACCATCCACCCCCAAGTTCTGTCCACTCACATACACCGACTCATCGGAAGCCAGAAACAAAGCCGCTTCAGCGATATGCCTAGCCTTCAACACAATCCCCTTCAAATTTGCCGTTTTGCAACAATTTTCCTCCACTTGGCTCGGCCCCATATTGTAAGCCGTGCAGCTAAGCGGCGTGCCCACTCCGAAGGGAGAAACACAGTTAACTCTAATCCCATGCGCCCCCAGCTCGTTACACGCCGTCTTCATCAGCCCCAGCATCGCGTGTTTTGAAACAGTGTAACCATGGGGGCCTGCCCCTCCGATGGAAGCGGCGACACTGGCGGTGCAGATGATCGAACCACGTATCCCTCCGGCAACCATGGCTCGAGCCGCATGTTTGATGGTTGCAGCCACCCCACGGACGTTGATGGCCATGGTGTTGTCAAAGGCATCTAGGTCCATGTCCAGTAGGGAAGTCAAGGGCCCCATGATTCCAGCATTGCTGAAGAGTATGTCAAGGGTTTTGTATTTGGCGAGTGTGTGGGCGACTGCTTCCGCCACTTGCTTCTCGTCCCTGACGTCGCACCGGAAATAGCAGATCTTGGTGGAGTTGCATGAGGCGACCACTTGGTGGCCCAGCTCATCTTGAACATCGGCGATCACAACCAGGGCTCCGTTTTCGAGGAATAACCGGGCGGTTTCTTCTCCGATGCCGCTAGCACCGCCGGTGATAAGGGCTACTTTACCCTCCAATCTGTATATATGTGGGGTTTAAATCGTTAATAGGGGGTTTGCTTGTTTACATCTTAATAGTTTAATTAACAGACAATCTCTGAATCGTTAAGAGGTGAATCTTGTTTGACAAAAAAAAAAAAATGTCTTTTATTGGTTCTAAAACCCTTTGAATGATTTTGTATCATGAATCTCTCTTAACCATTAAAAGCCCTAATTTCATTATACACAATTACCAAAAAATTATATTTTATTTTGCAGTATATCACGAGAGACTCTTAATCATTCTGACCACTTAGTCATTCTGCACCAAATCATTCATCAATTGCCAAACAGTCATTCAATCAGTCAAAATGACATATAAAGTCAGGTTCAAATGAGAAGATGATCAGTTTTTGAAAATATGAGAAGTTTTAATATTGGATATGATTACATGCATGATACGAATGCTTAATCATATATGATTAAAGACACGTTGGATTTAGAACACATAGATTCATCAAGTCATGTTTGTCTCATTTGGGTGAGTTTAATCATATATGATTAAATCTGCGTATTTAGTGTAATCATATATGATATTGAAACTCTTGTCCTTTCTTGTAAATTGATCAACTTCTCGTATGATATATATATATATATATATATATATATATATATATATATAGGGTTGGTTCACGTGAGACCAAGAGTTTTTCATGAGACCCGTAAGACTAATTTATGTTCATTGATCAACTTTATAAGCTAATGGTCTAAAGTTGTACGGTGACAATTTTGTGATTATTGAGAAAGTCTCGTGAAAATTTTGTGATTATAAACGTTCAAATTGTAGATCTAATCCAAGGGTTGAGAATTAGTTTTACGGGTTTTAGAAAAAACCCTAGGTCTCACATGATCCCAAGTCTATATATTGTCCATATATATGAACTTGGGATCACGTGCGACCAACATGTTTCCGTGAGATCACTTTTTTACACTTGAAATTTCACAACAAAACGCTGTGAAAATAATCTTCATAGTATTTCTGCTGTAAAGATTTGGTTTTTTTTTATCTTCACAATATTTTACTGTGAGGTTTCAAGTATAAAAAAATCTTCTCATAGATCTCACGAAAACAAACAAATCTCATAAGACTATATATAATGAATTTAATTACCTGGGTTTGCTGATCATGGTTGGCTGTTGGTGGTGAGATGTATGAGAATTGGTTTTAAAGCAAGGATATGATGGATCTCAGATCTCAACCTATATATACTATATAGTGATTACTTAATTAAAAATAAATTACACATTTAGTCCTTGTAGTTATTATTCACTATTAAATGGGGTCTTTATTTTAAACTAATTACAATTTTGATCACTCTAGTTGTCATTTTTTTCAATTTTGGTCCTTCCGACAAACTTTAGTTAAAAAAGTTAGTCAACAAAAGGGTCTTTTGGTCCTTTTACTTTTATTTTTTTATTTTATCTTTTATTTATTTATTTATTGGATTATAAATTAATTACGATTTTCGTCCATGTGGTTCGTCAATGATTTCTATTTTTTTTTGTTTTATATTTAACACGTTGATCTTTGTTTCTTTGTATTTGAAAAAGAATAATACATATTTTAATTTTAAATATAGTTTAATTATCAATTAAAAACTCA